TCTGTATCAGCACGTCAATTGTCTACGTGAGGTAAAACGGAAAATTCCTTCTCTTCAAACAGAAGACGGGTACACACGGACACAGATGGAGGCAGCAAATACCCTGCATCCACAATATGCTGCAACGTTTCAGCGCGAGCACTGCCCACCAAAATTTATGACGTTGGTTGTTTTACCCAAAAGCGCTCTCACATATCCTACACAAAAAACACAATAATAAAAATTTGTTGAGCATGCGCAAGCACGGCTCTCCTGGAGTTGATGATATAAACATGTAATCTCTAGATACAGTGGGAGAGAGTTTAGCTGAGCATCTGGCTCGATTCTCCCAAAACTGTTTTGACGAAATGTACTTGCCCGACATGTGAGAAAAACGGGATGATTACTCCTATTCACAAGGGAGATAGCCGTTCCCATCAAGCCAACTACCGTTCCATAACCTTACTACCGTTTATTTCCAAGGTCATGGAAGCTATTATTACTGATGCGCTAGAGGCCTAGTAGGATAATTTAACTACCGCGTACCGAAACTCAAGGCTTCAGAGGTACTCGACTGTGCATTACAAATGTACTACTAGCACGTGCCAGCTGGACTGAAGCAGTAGGTTCCAGTACAGGACTTGATGTACGCTTTCTCGACCTCCCAAATGCGTTCGATCGGTTATACCAAAACAGTTTTCCCTTCAAACTGCACAACTTTGTTATTGGTGATCCGCCTGCATCCATTGTGCACATATGTAATGTGCAGAACTTACGACAAACAGGAGCTTCGACCGTCTGGTAGCGAGAAGATTCTGAACTGTTTGGTCCACGTCGACATTGAAAACTCTAAACAGGCTGAAACCGAGTCCAAATGTGGGCCACCTGAAGCATGCATTCGGACGATTTGACCTATTGCTTTTTCCACAACTACTCAGCTCATACATACGGTCACATGTAAATACGCAATTTAGGTTTGGCAGCCATGACTGATTGGAAATCTCATGGATTTGGAGACACCCCAAATCCGTTCAACCCAGATTGTCAGGGGTCTGTATTCATTGCGTAGAACGCCAGGATCAAGTCAATTCAAAGAACAAACTTAACTATGGTAGTATTCAAATGATCATTTGTGATGAAGCAACACATCAACAATCCCGCTTCGTTCCGAAACACCGTGTTTTTAAGAGGCATGCGATTAGTTTGCAAATTACTATACCTGAAACATGGAGACAGATCATGAACCACACTATCCGTGCGCTGGATTACAAGGCGCTTATATTTGGTCACAACGGCACGCAATTACGAGTTTGATTTACAGCATATAGAAGGTAGGATGCATTTGATCACCGGGTGAGTTAAACGGGGCAATTGTCACTATGAATGCTGATAAGATTTCTTGAATGAATCGACGAAGGAAAATGTGTCACATGGAGCAAGTTGCGTTGATCGATTGATAACGATGCGCTGCTTTGATTGTGTGAAAACTGCGGTGGGCAGTGAAATGTAAAGCGAACATGATTTGGCAATCAGGCGCATGTCAAGATTAGGCAGATGCCAGTACCGGTTATCTAGCGCAAGTCCCAGGCATCAGTCTAAATCTTACCTGGTTATTTTGCCCAGAGTACTGCGTTGGTGCATTGTTGGATGTGGATGCTAGCGCAGGAAACTAATCTTCATTAATAGTGTATGCCATATACATGTACTTCCAAGTTATCCCATCAAACTTTTATACCATAATTTCACGCCGATTTCATCTTTTAGAGAAAATGTGAGCTAATACAGGAATATTAGCGTCAGCAGACAAGTAGACCGGATTTGGGCTAAACGGAATAATTAGCAGTTTCTTAATATGAAGCATAGTGTTTCGCAAGGCCAAGGCATAAACACAACACACACAGATCACGAAACCACTATTACCTGGCAAATGCATGTGTAGCTGTTACGGAAGGACACTCGTCGTTCAGCAGAATTGGACCAACCAGATAGTTACGAACCACATTATGTTCCGTTCAACACCACTAAGCTTCACCATTCCTGCAGTCAATATAATTGACGTTTAGAATGCGGGTACACAAATTAGTGTTTTTCGGCTACCCAATCAGTGTACAGGGCGCAAACAAATTCTCGTGTATGCGACCCACTTGTCCTCCAATTAGAAAAGCCCCCTGTCTGGAAAGAGCAATGTGGAGAGTACATAACTTAGATGCGCATCAAAATGATAGATCGTCAAATCGCTGTGATGTTTACGTCAAAATGCTTACTAATGCTTGGTAAGTCTCGGGATGACCGTGCACCTTATCTACAAACGATGACTATTCAGTGCTTGTATTCCACCACGGAATTGGTTTGTCCATGAGTAAAATCGTATCCTGTTCAGTAGGTACCAGATTTCTAGGCTTAACCAGTATTAGCTAATTTTTTTCTTTCCCATGCTGGAACCTCTGAGAAAAACTTAATCTCGTTTTATAGATTAGGCAGACGTACGTATTTTTTGTTTAATCACATTCATTTCATTAACAGTTTAAAAACAACAAAATCTAAATTGTCTAATTAGGTCATGTGCGGGTCACAAAAGGTGCCACCCACGCAATTAAAGCGGAGGATAAAGCGATGCCCAACCAAAGCTTAACTGAGCCACTTAAAACTTAAGTTGTTTCTGAATCAAACACACTGGGATTGTTAGAATCAGTTACTCGATGCAGTGAGGTTTTGTGTCTGACAGCTTGAGTACACGGCGCATAGATGCGTAACAACACATCGTTGAACCGCTGACTGCCGAAACAGTTGACAGGTTAGTCGAAATTCCTGCACATACGAGTGTATGCCATTAAAAATACACCGAATAGCGAAAATGATATTTGGTCCAAGTCACGTACTTAGACATTCTGGATTATTGCACTTCAGAAGCACATTGTGTGACAAATTATTTATTAACCTATTCTTCGTGGACGCGACCTCTTTTATTCAACAGCAATTGCGTTTGTGCAATGCGAACTAAAGCATCTATATGGTAAGTCCACATCGATGAAATAGATATTATTAATTATTCGTTACAAACCCATTCCTGATTGCAACTTTCCCTTTGCTTCCGTCATGTCTACGTTATTATTTGCTTCAAACTTTCAAGTAAAATGCAGTCAAGATTGTAAAGTAAAAGCAGAATGACCAGTTTACAATTTGATGGCCTACAGAACCAAGTCTTCTCTGCCATATTACTTAAGGAACATGTCAGCTTTTTAATATTTACTTCATTTATGCCTATCCTAACAGTCGTAATAATAACAGGAGCATTATTGAAAGATGGAAATCCGGTGCCATTTACAAGTAAAAAGGAATTGGAAGACAATCCAACATGCAGACATTTTGTAGATGTCTGCATCAAGGTAAACAGTATTAAATTTAATTCTTTTCTAACGGCGAATAGTAATCGCGTCAGTGCTGGAACTATCTAGAAGATGAGGCTTTTCCGAATTAGTATGGTTTTTCTTTCAATATGACACATATGCCGACATAATGTCTAGAATTTTGGCATTTGTATAATGAAATGTGACCTACCTGATCACTGTAAACCAATCACCCATTAACAGACATTGTTTATCACGCGATTTCAGCTCCGGACCTCCATTACATCCAAGACAGGAGTGCCATACGAAATGATCGGATGTGACTTTTCTTCAGTTAGTGCACTTCCGAATCAAACTCATGTGATCGTTAACGTAGAGAATAAAGGATCTGCAGAAGTACACCGGTTTGTGAAGGAATTGTTTTCAAAATGTGAAAGACGGAGAACTGACACGAACAGCACGGACTTAAACCTGCCACGACCATTCGGTAACTTAGTCCCAATAGTTGCAATGATATTTTGACACCCTTGAGTCTTCTGCCACTCTAGCTATCTTAGTGAAACAATCGCATTGCATTCAGTAGTGATGGAATTTATCAATATGCCATGTATTTTAAAGTTATCAGCCACCTAATTATATTCGATTACATTCAGATTAACTCTAAATCGTACACGAGCCAAACAAAATACCATACCTACGCATGCCTTTTTAATTAGGGTTCTTTAAGGATATGCTGATAGGTTTACTCTTTTACAGAGACTGTCATCGGTCCTGGGTACGCAAGTAAGTAGTTTTACAATATCGAGATAAATGGTACGCAACGACAGCTAGACGACAGGTAAGCGATCCATCCACTTATTCCCATGTAATCTGGCTTCTCTAGTTAGTAGATACCATTGGATTCGCAACCAAACCGACGTTGGTCTGTGGGAACTGACACGACTATCCTACGCTTTAGATCCCATATTGATCACCAGAGGAAGCAGTTCAGTGCATCAGACTACTCTTGCTATTTTATGTCAAGCAATCGCCTTTTTATTATTTGTCTGAATCCTACATAAGTGATAAAACATATTGGCCAAGCTATCAGCGGATTTCACACAAGTTTTAATTATAGCAAACCACTATGGAAAGTAACTGGTCGAAACGCACAAGCCCAAACGTGCACCTATATATTGATCACTGCTAGATCAGGGAATTCGTCGCACCATAATGGCAACATCTACCTATTTAAACGGAATTTTTGTGCTTATAACTTTCAAAGCCTTTGTGTTGTCAAACCAATTTAGCCATCCGGATTGCCATGGGATTCGTCGGAGATGATTTAACGGGCAATTGGCTGAGCATTTATGGCAGTGCAACTGAGGTGATGCATATTGCGGCGACTACCTGCTCGAAAGTAAGCATCCATTTTGAATTCATTCGTAGACACAAATCGCAGCGGTACTCATTGCCTTGACTCACGATGATTGGAAGACGGCGGTGGCCAATTGTTTGCTCGAAACATTATAAACCTTCACAATATACTATACCGTTAACTCGAATATCCTACACACCATTTGCAACGTAGTTTACCTACCAATTTGATTGCGATGTTTCACTTGTTTATAGCGTTGGCTTAATTTCTAAAAATTGGACGAAAATATGTGGCACGCCTTGAGTATCTGTCCAGCAAACAAAACCAATTTTGTGCAATGCACATTTTTCCCTGTGATAAATTACTAACACAGTGGGCCGTATACGTACCAACTATTTTAATTTGAAATCTTTGACGTTTGTCTTTAACTCATTGACAGGATACGGTAGGTTGATAGGTGTTTGATCATCGCGGTGACAAACGTAGAACGAAAGTGGCATAAACCGCTCAGTTTGCCCTGGGCTTTAACACATATGCAACATCCCATGCTCTTATTGGCCCACGAATATTTGAGACAAAATATCGATAAACTGTAACAAAATTTTCAATTTATTGCAGATTCATAACACATAAACCAAAAGCTCTCCAACATAGCAATTTGTTATGAATATACCTTGCTAATGAAAATATTTTACTTCCGTCCCTCAATCTCTTTTATTACTAGTACTACACGATGGCGAATACTGAGAAAATATCCGGCTGCAAGAAATTTACATGCGTTGTAAACGGTCCACACAAGGAATACATGAAAGCGGAATTTGTCTTACGTTTCGAGTCGGATGAAGCGGGCACCATCAGGTTAACAAAAGATGACTTGGAAAAGCAAAACGCAGGAACTGGTTACGACCTTACCAACATACAAGTCAATGTTCTAACTGCTATAGCTTAATATGAGTAATAAAGTCGTAAATTTTAAATCAACCTTTATGTGATAATTCAAAGTGAAGGGAAACTAGTTTTCGCAGCGAAATTTCTCTAGATTAATATATTAGCTTCAAGTTACTGGCCTTCTTAATGTGTCCAGCTGATTTATAAGTAAATTTTCAACACATTCGCATATATATAGATATATATATATGTAATTGATCGCCGAAAACGCCCACAACATTTCCGATCACACTGAGTCACTTAACGGCATCATGCTAAATAGCAGAAATCAAGTAGGTGCGAAACTAAAATGGCTTCATATAAACACTACCTTTGGGTTCGAAGAATCAAATGGATTATTCATTGTAGAGTTAGCCTGCTCACGCTGTTCACGCTGGCATAATCCCAAATGTGCAGGCGGTTCCCAATTACAGGTAGGAGAGCGACACATTTCCCAAGTCGTCTTTTGGTTTGGCATTGCGCAATCGACCATCTTATTCGTCAACAGTATGCGTTTGCTCGTCCAACCTTGCATCCGGTTGTTACCGGAAGCTGAACGTCGAATCAACGAAAGTGTTCATTGAATACCTGTATGCTTTAGTAGAGAAAGCTGGTGTTTAAGCAAAGCAGTGATGCACAGCTTTCTTTCCTATAATCAGGAGCAGCAAGGATTCCCTGGACTTTATGCCCTTCAAATATGAGAGAAATTCAGATACAAATAGACCGTAGATTTGATAATCAAGCTTATTCATGAAAACGAAGATTAGGTGCAAACCGAAACGTGTTCTCTATCAGGTTGTTATGTTCCTAACAAGTTTAATCCTAAGGAAGCATATGGCAGCCAAACACGAGTGTTCTCCATCCACAATGTAGTTATCACATGTTGAGTACAAATACGTCGAAAAGGTAGACACATTCACTGTTCACCCATGCAAAGTTCACCCAAGGTTGCCACATCTACCGTCCCTGACGAACTACGAAACAAAGCCTAGATCAATTTACTTGATTTGTAGTCGGGCCGATGATCATCTGGCCCTGCAGCTTGACAATAGTTAGGTTATCTGATCACTAAGACCAGCGAAGTCTTTCTGCATTTTGATGAGCGTGAGAGATAAGTTAATAAGTTAATAAGAGATACTTGTCGCTAGAGCTCTGTGCAATATGACGTACCCAGTATGTTATGAATATAGTAAGCTCCGCTGCTGAAATAGGAAAATATTACTGTCTGAATGTGCTTTACAGCATGGACGCTATGCGATGCGCCTAAACCATGACGTTACTTGGGGCGTACTACAGTCGAAAAGCGACATGTCAGAAGTACGCAGCAAGCAGGGTCGCGTAGACATGTTCTTTATCTGTGCCGTGCCGAAGCTTCCTTCCCATACTCTTATACCGTCAAGTATATCGACGTCTTTTTGTCCCAAAACTTTTCTTGGTCCACGCAGGTCTGTGCAAATTTCCAAAAAGGCCGAAGTCTTTTTTATCCAATCAGATGTGAGGAACTTTCAGTATCTCATACGTTAATATTCAGGTTTGTTACCTTGCATTATTTCCCATTGGTTATACCGCTCTTCTGCCATTTTCCGTGGACTGCTTCAGAAAGACCGGAACTTATCGGTGCACTCTAGAAAGCATGTTCTAGATGCAGCAGCTTGGCTAGTGATTCCCTAGTTGTTTTGTTTGTTTCTGGACATCTTGCTACCTGCAATGATAAGATTAAATGATCGATTTCATCAAATTCATGGTGATCTTAGTAAAATCCTCTCTTTCTCTTCTGGACATTCAGAATTCAGAATGTTATCATCCCGCACGTCATCGGATCGTAATGTTTTGCCTTATCGCCGAAGTTTGCATGTTGACACAGTGAAATTCGCTTACATGCTGCGCAAGCGATGTTAGGAATAACAGTAGTGCACTTTTCCTACTTTTCTCCACAAGCATGTGTCTTTAGCTAATCATCCAGGTGTACACATAGTTGGTGTAGATGCTGAAAATGAAAGCTTTAGGGGTCATAAAGATTATTTTGACTTGGTTTGACTTAACTTGAATTGCAAAGGCAAAGGACCATAGTAGAAAATTGCAATGTGTGGTAATAGTGGTAAGTTTCTTGGAAGGTTTTACGAGTTAAATCTAAGTATATGCATGACAGAGATAAAGTTTTGTAAAGTTTGCACCACCTGTCAGAGTAGCGCACAAAACTCCAGTTCATTGCAACCGAGACCTTAATAACATAGGAGATTGGTTAACATTCCTTTTTGATCACCACAAAAACATATGGAGCCTTCTGGCTTGGTTACAGGTAGGATTAGTCTCCACCAATCATAAAATTGTACCGGGGTAAGAATACATTGTCTTTTTAACCAGGTTAAGTTTTCTTCTACTTTAAGCCTCATGTATTACGGTGATATGGGCCCCTTGATAAAATTGGGCCGAGTGTTTTCCGTTAACATGATCGAAGCTTGGGAATCCTTCAATTTTCCAAGCCCCTCGATAAAAACAGATGAATATTTCTTCAGTTACCTGAAACCACAGCGACTGCCTTTGCTACCACCATTGTATCCGGAAATGCGCGTCACTATTCCCTTCCAAACAGACTTGGTCGAGCTCCGGTGACCACATACACAGAAATTGTCTGTGCCTTGCGCCGTATACTACATTTACCAAACATTTACCAACACTAGTTTCGGTTCGCCAGAGTACGCTCGGAGGACAGAATTGCAAACTTATAGAGGCGGTGGACTTTTCTCAACATTCCTCTTACTTATCGTCACTGATGCTGTCCTATTCATTTCCACCTTCACCCTTTATCCCTAAATATAACACTCTAGAAAGTGCGGTGCGGGTCGCAAGTTGGGAGCTGTATTTGAATATACAAACCACGGTCCGGACACTTTCTTCTGACTCGTCCACAGTTTTAACGGGTCTCGTTTCTCAACAATTCTCGTCCAAACGATGTTTGAGCTATCTGCATACTAGCGCCAAGTGGTAAAGCGGCACAATATAGTGAACATGAAACCATTACGCTTTCAGTATTTGGTAACAATTGCTTTTCTTCTTGTTGGTATCTTCCGATCGTTCAGTTGTTTAAGTGGCGGCACGTCTGGTTCACTTTCGAATTTTTTGGGCTTCACACGTTACCTTGCTATGTGCTCTCGTTTGTTTGCTTCTAGTTCATTGCAGCGCTTTACCATACACGTAGGACCCGGCTACTTATCCACTTCTGAAAAATTGTTAACCGCATTGACTCGTAGTGGTTCCCGTCACAACCAGTAGCTGCGTTCCGCTCTAGAATTTGGGTCCCCGGTTGCGAACCTTATCGCAACCATGTGGTATCCCGCAACCCGGTGAAACCAAAAGTTGTCGCTTTTGTTCGGCTTTCCGTTTTCTATCTTTTAGAATCCTTTTATCATGTATTGTCTGGATGCTAAACTTCCTGGTCATGCTTTTAATGATGTCACTTTTCCTGTACAACCGTCTATTAGCAGCAATCCACAGGTTTAGTTTTACTGTTAGAGTTACAGTTCAACCACCCTAATGTCACCGCTGACTCAACAAATTGTAGCCACCTACTAGCATGTTTGCCCAGCAACATATCCCTGCAACTCAGGGACCTTTCAATGTAGTATGTTTCCAAACAACGCTATGGTACTCTCAAGCAAACCGTCATTTGCCGAAGCACACCATTCTATGGGGCTCGTATTTAGCAACTATTCGAAAGGCTGCAATTGGATGAGAGAAGAACGTTAATGTTAGGGAGCATGATGCGCTAAATGTTCCGCACATCCTCCATGGACGATGTATTGCGTGAACTTTGGTTACGGCGTTTACCAGAAACAGCCCAAGTTGTTCTTACCGCGATTCATTTTCAATCGCTAGGTGACACCCCTCAAATAGCTGACGCTGTACTCGATCCTTTTCGTCAGCAGCCTAATTTTGTCAATTCCCCTTTGC